ACACCACAAGAGCCAAGATAAGAAACCAACATCCCGCAGTTCCGCCAGCGTTGCCGTTTTTCCGGTTCCGCGAACAACAGGTACCAATGAGACTCTATTAAGGGCTGTAAGTTAAGAATTACGCAGTGATTTTAAAGCTCTCAAAAAGGAACGGATGGTAGATGTTCACTTGTCAAGGAATGCACTCATTTCGGTTAATTTCGGTTATTCGGACCACAATTTCTTTCGCGTATGTGCAACGCATCCAATAACTTTCGAGCACCGATCTCATTGGGGCTCGAAAGTTATTGGAAGTTGTGGGCTAGGAGTTTTTATTATACTTAATATCAGAATGCCTTGATTTGCTTCTAGTCAATGTCTCCCAGGTGGCATGAGTAGGGGAGCCGGTCGTTTGGCGCGATGGGCGGGGTCGCGCCGCCCATNGAATGAGTTGAAGGGGCGATGGGCGGCGCGACCCCGCCCATCGCGCCAAACGACATACACCCCATGAGTAGGCCTCCACGCCTTTTGATTGATGTATGTTCCTTGGTGGGTGCTCAGCATCCTTCCCGTCCCGCCAATATACTAGGTTGGCAAGAAAGCTCTGCGACAAAAGTTATCTTATTCAGTTAATCACGAAATCTTCTAAACATATCAAATAACGACGATATATCCACCAAATAACGAGGTCAACAATCTTCTCTCATTTTTTTGGGCAAACAACTGAGCCCCTTCGCCCAGAAGTCAGAAAATTGTGACTCGAGAAGTTGTTTTGAGCTCTCTTCCTCGCAAGTTGTGCTTGAGTGGGTAGAACAAGTGGTAATCGGAAGGTGCAAGGTCCGGGGAGTGCGGTGAATGAGCAACTGGATGCCAGACAATCTCAGCGATTTTTCGCCGGGTCTCAGATGCGACATGTGGACGCGCGTTGTCATGCTGTAGGTACACTTTCGATTGTCTTGAACGCTTTACTTTAATAGTATCGGCCAAGTGCTAGAGCTGATCGACGTAAACGGCAGCTGTGACAGTTGTGACAGCGATCAGGAACTCGTAATAAACGAGTCGCCTCATTTCCATCAAACTGAAAGGAGATATTCACACTGGTGAGGGTTTGGCCTCGGCTGATTTGGTGGCTCAATGCCGTAAGGGAGCCGAAAGATAGTGCGTTTGCCGAAATCATACAATATCCAGTTTTCATCACCGGTTACCAAATCTAGAAGAAAGTTCTCACGACTCCGCTGAAAAAGCAAAGATCCGCAGATATTTACATGGGCCTGCTTTAGTGATCCGTCCACCGGTGGGTGAGCCACCTTGACAGTGATTTTCGATAACCGTAGACATAGAGAAAGGTTTGGATAGTGAAGTAGAAGCATATATCGCTGCCGACTCACGCGTGGTGGCCTCGGGTTTGCTTTGGCAGCGCTTAGTAACTCGTCTTCATCGATGTTTCGTGCTCTCCCTCTGCACACCTTATCTTCAGAGCTGGTATTTTCTCAAGGGAAGCGATTGCGGCAAGGATTGACCGTTGAACGGTGAACAGTCAATTCACCCAATGTGTTGTTGATGGCAGCAGCCGCTTCATGTGCTTTTTTCGATTGACGCCACTCGTAGAATATAATAGGGCGAAGATGGTGCTGGGAGATCACTTTCGATATTGTACCAAAATCCCGCTCCCTGTGTAGTCATGTATTGATTATTCTTGGCGCACTCGAACAGATTGTCACAATGGGTGACGGTTCACGCTGATTTCGCAAGCTTGTCACATTTTGCATTTTTTGTCGCAGGACTTCCTTGCCAATCTATTATATCTCGCCATAGGCTGAGCACTACTGTTCTACACCTTCTCGCGGTGTCTCCGTTCTCCACCTCTTCTGAATGGACGAATAAGCAAATATCCGTCGTGCACGCACGATCATGAAGTCTGTTGCAGATTAGACGATGTTTGATATTGTCCGCTGTAGGTTTATCAAGAAATCAGCTGGTGCGATGCATTGTCGGGTTTCTGCGATGACTTCGCTGGAAAAATGGAAACTTCGTTTATGAATGGAAACCGTGTTGCACCATATTCTTGCGATTTCTCGGCGAATAGCCTTGTAAGCCCGACCGTTTGTCCTGTTTCCCGTAGCCATCCATGTTTGCAATTTCAGCAGCTAGCTTGCGTTACTCCTTCCGTTCAATTTCGCCTGTGCAAACTCCTGTAGCTGTTTACGTATTGCGAATTACTGTGCGTTTCACAGCTTCAAGGTGAGCAAATTTGCGTGGAGTAAGATGTTCTTCGAAATGCCCTTACGATACGTTCCACTAAGGCACAGTTCACGATAATTTTGAGGTACCCATTTTTACTCTAAAAGCTCAAGTATAGATTGGGAATACTTCATTGGTAGTGAAAAAAACGAGAATCCGCCGATTCCGAGAAAAATAAGGTCCTTCAAAGTAGGGATAATAGACTTTGGACGAGATTGCCATGACGGGAATAGCATGGGAGGGGTACTCGGACGGGACTCCAGATTGGAATTGCACAAAGAAATGACTACATCAAGCCAGAACTGTACAGACCTGTCTTTCACTATCGCATGGGTTATGACAGAATGTTTGAACTTCCTACATGGGTTCACTTGTGACCGGTCCAATGCTGGTGAAACTCGTTTGGGTTTACACATGGGCCAATCTTTTATTTATAACTCCCTAACTATGCCGTTTTTCGACCTAATAGTGCCAGATGTGGTATACGAGGGGACATCAAATTCATCCTAAGAGGGAATCTCAGAAACCATTTTTTATCGTGAACTGTGCCTTTAAGATTACGTGTGCTAGTCCAGATGAAGAAGCCAACCTTCGTACGAAACCTCTCTTGTGTATTTGATACACTGTGACTGTCAGTTGAGGATGTCAAATAATTCATCGATTCCTTGCTGCGCTGACGTAGCTACGCAGCAGCAATCGATGTACCGACAGTACATAATGGGTGTGCGCTCTATGACTGGTCTTTCTACTCCGTTCATAAAACAAGCTAGGACAGGTGCTGGCCGCTGACCCAATGTAAGTCTCCGGTTTTGGGGAAAGTACCGCTCGACTTGGAAATGTTACAGTCGAGGCATTCCTTGATTGGAGCCATATTGTTGCAGAGGTGGGGAGATTCTGCTAGAAACCACCAGTACGAAGCAATGGATACTCAAGGAGTGAACAAACTGCAAAACCAGACAGAAGTTACACTTAGTGGTAGCACATCTATATCGGAAGGAGCTCTGGTTTTCTCATTTTTTGGTCATCATTCTTGACCGCCCGAGGGGTTAGACCTTCCACTCATCACTAGGCGGTGACACGGCTTCATTGATTGAGAGATCAGCGTAGAATGAGTGTCATGCGCAAAGAGCCTCAGCGCTGTAGCACGGAATCTATGATATTCTATGCCATTCTCATTTTGTTCCATAAGAAACACAATCTTTCCCCGTGCAAGACGCAAAACTTCAAGTGCCTTCAGCGCTATATTTGAAATATTTAGAAGGCCTGTTCTCCAACATAACAAAAGCACAATGAGAAAAATTGCGAGAGATACGGAGACGCGTGGCAGGGGATGGAATCCGTCTCTCCGAGAGTGACAAGGGAGGAGAATTTGTGGTTTTACCTCGCTCAATAGCTCGGAAAATCACAGAACTCCAATTTAAAGGTACTTCTGCATGCGGTCACTCTACGATTAAGACGTCCAATGTCACAACCTGAATGCTTTGTGGGTATCAATCAGAACGACAGCAAAATTGAATAGAAGGTTGATCAGAAGATTGAAGTTGGATGCACCTTCGCCTGGCTCTGATGAAATTGTTGTTCAATTGTTCCGATACTTACCCTCACATCCACCAAACCCCAACCAATCTCTTGATCGCCTGCGCTCGTGTACTGTTCAAAAAAGCGTAGTAGAGCCGTCCGATGCAACTGCGCTTTATACGAACGTAAACGATAACGAAACTCTTCAAGCGGTTTCCGAAATGCTGGTCGTCATGATGCAGAAACTATGACGTCAGGATTGATCAAGGCTCACAATTTTGCTTTGATCAAGGAAAGCACTAACTGTAATATTTTCAATTAGTGCTGGCAGTCTTTCTATCCACAAAATTTCTTTGAGTCAGCGGTTGGGAACGGTCTCAGCCATCTGCTTTATGAGCAGAGTAAGGAGACCAGTTATAGCGCGCATGCCCATTATGTACTGTCGGTACATCGATGAGTGTTGTGCAGTTACATCAACACAGCCAGAGATGAGTTAATTATTTGACATCCTCAACCGACAGTCACAGTATATCAAGCTCACGAAAGTGGTTTTGCACGAGGTTTGGCTTCCTTATCTTAACACGCAGATAAACGTCTCAAGTAGGAGGTGCAATGGGAAGTGGTATCGAAAAAACAGCTCGAGGAAAATATTAGCTCCACGCAAAGTCTGAACACCCTGACATGTACAGAACAACTACGGGAATGTGCACGGAACGGAGTGGAACGGGAAGATTCACGAAATTTAGATTGCAAGCTTAAATGGCTACGGAAGATGTCATGCTTACCAGACTATTCGCCAAGAAAGCATCTTCGGCTTCCATTTATACCAGAGAGAGTCATTCAGTCATACCAGTCACAGAAAGGAATTCAATAATGCACTGCACCAGCTGATTTGACGAATGATGTTGCCTTGATAAACCTATAAGTGGACAACATCAAGCGTCTTCTAATACGCAATAGGCTTCATGATTGCGCGTGCACGACGGATATTTGTGTCATTTCTCCATTCAGAAGAAATGGAGAATGGAGACAGCGAGGGACGCTATGCCAACCTCAGTGTTCAGCCATGACGAGATGTACAGATTGATCGAAAATCTTGACAGAGTTTTTTGAAAAACGCAGGATTTTCGTTTTTCTATCTATATCCACGATCTATCATGTGACAGTTGTAGAACATTTTGGAAGCTTTTCCACAAAAGGTGTATGAGGGCGCGTGCGCCTGCCTGAACTTGAACACGATGTCAATTTCGAGTTTGAACACGATGCCATTTTCGCAAGACTATTCTCAAGCTATCATCTTCTTTGAATCGCTCTGCGGCCCTGGAGCGACAACAACCGTTCACAACATCAACAGCGCAATGAGGGAGGGCACCACTTCCACCGCTACTGTCCATCGCTGGTTTGCTCGCTTCAAAGAAGGAGACACGGGTTTTGAAGACAAGGCTCGGCCTGGACCCCCTCCCCCCCCCCCCCCCCCCCCCGCCGCCGGCGGCGGCTCCCTAATTCTCGACACCGTCGAAGAGGATCCGGAAGTTGAAACCGGTCGAAGACGAGCCGGAAGTTAATACCTGCAGCCTTGCTACGAGACTTGGGTGTTCCCAATCAACAATCGTCGGTCGCCTTTAGACCCTCGGTTACAAAAAAGTGCTGACTCAATGGATACCTTATATCTTCACTGATAGCATGCGGTACGTGTTAATCCTTTTGTCAGTCTATTCCTCTTCGCCCTGATCACAAGGAATTTCTGGAGAATCTAGTTACTGGAGATAAAATTTGCCACTACAACGCTAACATCAGCTGCAGAAAGTTGGACGAGGAAAACGGCCTCGACGATTTTTTGTGCACCTCCTCCATGACAACGCTAGGCCTCACTTAGGTGAAAAGACCCGTACAAAATCAGTGTGGCTAGGCTAAGACACGATTTCACATCCACCCTATTCGCCGGATAATGCCCCTCAGATGACCACTTGTTCCGGCCCCTCAAGGCTTTCCTAATGAAAAAAAACATTTGTTAACCATCACCACCGAGGGGTAGGTGACTTCTTTGACACCCAACCTTCCCAGTTCTGGAAGGAGGGAATCGCTGACCTGCTCATCAGATGGGACAATGTTGTATCTAACAATGGTTGTTATATTGTTGATTAGCTTACACGGTTTGCCTGAGTTGTAAAATAAAACAGAAAAAATTTCAACCCTATAAGGACTTTTCGTTTAACCTTATATTTTGGTGAGATGGGAAGGATGCTGAACTTAAGCGCCAAAGAACATCTAGCAGGTAAAGTCGTGGAACGTCACTTCTCACGTCACTTGGCAGGCATCAACTAAAAGAAAATCAAAGCGATGATTTCGATATTGAATGCAAAATCCTAACCTACAACAATGAAATCGGTGCTGAAAATGTATTGCAAGCGTTGCATATCAGCGAAAGAAATCGTAGTCTCAACAACCGAAATGGGTGCATTGCCATAACAAAAGAACTTCTACTATTCATTCCTTTCTGAGAGCCTTTAGATCACCGCGTAACTCTTATCTCACGGCCGTCAATGGTATGCAGCATTCTTGCTTAAAATGAGCTGGTGAAAATTTGGATAAAAAGGGAGCTACAATTTTTGTTGAGAACGGCTTACATTGATTATTCTTCCAGGTCATACTTTAAGGTGTAATGATGGCGTACGCGGTGCGTACTCATTGCATCAGATTGTCTACAATATTCCTTACAGAATCTGTAGAGTCGTTGTCTAGGAACTGGTCGAACTTATGAGGGAGCAGAGCAACATCATGTAAATTAGGATCCTACTACAGTGCGTCGCAAAATGATACAGCCACCTCTACTTTTCCCAAAAACTCACAGTGTATGATGTTTCTGAAAAACTGTCAAAGTAAAAAAATGTGTCAAATTTGAATTGCAATTCGCACATTATCGCCAAATTCCAGCTCGAAAACACAAACATTTTTTTTGGTCAATTTTCCAATAAAGGGTGCTTTTCCAACGTCGCAAAATGATACAGCCACT